GGGTGGGGGTGATGAACACATGACGAGAGGGGGCGGTTGTGGCGCCCGCCGAGCGGGGTTGGTCGCCGGCCCCGTAGGCAGCGCTGCTGACGCATCACAAGGGATGACGCATGGGCCGCGATGACGAGGTTTCAGGCATCATAAGGAGGCCCGTGGCCAGGGTCGCCGTGCCCACTGCGGCGCCCCCCGCACCTTCACGTCGAGCAGGCCAAATGTGTCGGCAGGCGGCAGCGCTCCAGCGTCATGATATCCCTGTGGACCTCGCATGGTGCTCTCGCTTTGGGACCCTGACAAGGCTACAGTCAGCAGCGAGCGATCTGAGCTGCACGGAACGGCTTACAACCAAGCGAGGCATACTCAGCATAACATAAATCATCAAACGCGCTTGTGAAGCCCAGCGAATGGCCTCTTTCGTGACTGCGCACCTGACACCGAAAGCTCGGCTGTTTCCAACCCACTCAAAACTCATTCACAGCCCCGTTGCAATGCCATTCTCTATTGACAGCTGCACAAGAGGCCTCCTCTCGCCCCATTCAGGAGCAGGCCCATCTTGGATCCGCCTGAGAACACCCGAGCTCTAAAAGCGTCTGAAACATGAGCGGCCGCGGCAAGGGCGGTGCGTATTCTGACTAAAACGATCGGAGCCATCCGGGTCGGGCAGCGGGAGGCACGCGCGCCGCGCAGCACGCCCAGCAGCGGCCGCTTTCAACATGCTTCCGCCCACGTCTGAGCACGGCGCTCCTGTCCCCAGACGCCCGCGCCCGCAACCTCCCACCACCCCCAACAGCCGCGCGCCGCGCCACATCCACCCAATCTCATCACCGCGCCCGCCCCGCGCGCCCTCTGACCGCGTGCGCGCAGGCAAGGGCCTCGGCAAGGGCGGCGCCAAGCGCCACCGCAAGGTGCTGCGCGACAACATCCAGGGCATCACCAAGCCCGCCATCCGCCGCCTGGCGCGCAGGTGCGGCCCCTGCATCCATGCGACAGCTCGGCACAGCACCAGGCCCCTTAGGAGCCCGCACGCCTGCCGCCCCCGCCCGCCAGCACCTCACCGGACGTCTGCGCACGCGCCGAGCGCTTTGGCCAGGGGGCTGCTGCAGGCGCTGCAGCAGCGCACACGCGCGCGCCGCGCCAGATCACAATATTGCGCCGTTCCCCGCCTCTCCCCCCACCTCCTCCATGCGCCCCCTCTTCCCCGTGACGCCCCTCAAGCACGTCCGCACTGCCGCTGCCACATCACCACCACCGCCGCCCGCTGACACCTCTCGTCCCCACCCTGAAAAACCCCAAAACCCCAGGGGCGGCGTCAAGCGCATCAGCGGCCTCATTTACGAGGAGACACGTGGCGTCCTCAAGGTGTTCCTTGAGAACGTGGTGCGCGACGCCGTGACCTACACCGAGCACGCGCGCCGCAAGACCGTGACGGCCATGGACGTCGTCTACGCGCTCAAGCGCCAGGGCCGCACTCTCTACGGCTTCGGCGGCTGAGCGCGCGCGCGTGTGTGCGCGCGCGCGTACGCCGCACGTGCGTCGCCCCGCTTGCGATCCCGCTATACATGTTTGCTGTACGCATCTCCTCACGATTGTGGTTTACCGGTTTGGCCGAGCCCGGCCGCTGCTGCGCCCCTGTATGCATGCGGCGGGCGTACCCCGATGCTGCGCCGTGCGACGCCTGCGGCAGCGGCCGGACGCATTCCGCCTGCCGCTGTTTACCCCCGCATGCCTTCGACGGTTGCATATTGTAAAAACGCTCATGTCCATTATCACAGGGCTCTATGACCCCCTGCGGCATTCAGTCTCTGTCAGCATTACCTGTTGCAGAGTCAACAGGCAGCATGTGAGCGCCCTGGTCCCGTCGGCCTCTCGCCCGGTGCATGCATAATTACTCATGGCACCTGCTGCCAAGCGGCCGGTCATACAATATGAAAAGCGGCGTCAGGGCGCCGTCAGGGCGTGTGGGGTTGTTGCAGCAATGATGTGGGGGCACAAATTAGAAAGCGACGGGCCGGAGCACCTGCTGGGATGCCGCGGTAGCGGCGTATAGGGGGAGCGGCGGCGGCGACATCTGCAGGGGTTGCTGGTGGGCGGGCGCGGAGCCGCGGCGAGCTGGTGCGGGGCCGCGGCGTCGTGTGTGGTGTGCGTGCGCGAAATCACATCGCATGCATGCCTGGGTGGACGCAGTGGAAGAGGGGCTGGCACGAGGAAACGAGAGGGGACCGCGCGAAGAGGAAGAGGGGGGTGCGGGCGGTAAAGTTGGCGCGCACAAGCGCCCGTCAGGGGCGGTGCTGCGCCGCTTGCTCCCCTGCGCTGCTTGACCCCCGGCCTTATGACGAGCTCACTCTCGGGCTACCTCTAGCGCGCGCGTGCGCGCACGCGCATGCGCAGGGTGCATGCGCGAGATACTCGCAATCAAGCGGCAGACGACGGGCGCCGCGCGCCGCCCACCGCCAAAAGAGCGGCTGAGCGACCCCAAGGCCGTGGAGAGAGGGGGGCTGCGACGGCGCCGGGCGAGCGCTTGGAATTCAGAGGCTATGAGCGCGCCGCGCCGGCCTGGCCAGAGCGCCCGCCGCCGTCCTTGCCCCCTGCCCGCGCAACGGGCCGGCCCCTGGCTTGCTGCAGCTGGGCGTGCGTTGCGCTCCGGTTCGGAGGGCGCGCCTGCGCGCGTGCGCTGCTGTGATGCGGAGGGGGAGTCTAATCGGGATGAGCGCCTAGTGCAGTCTTCCCAGGCACCCCGGGTCGTTTCTAAAGGTGATGTCATACATACAAGTCATTCGGGCGGCCGCCGGGTCGATAGTTCTCGCTGCGAAGATGGAAGCGGGGACGAGCGCCGGTTCGAGATGGCCGGGCGCGGGCGGGGCGAACGGCGCCGCGAGGGGGGCGGGGCTGCAGGCTCCGGGCGGGCGGCTTGGGCCGGGCGGCAGACAGAGAGAGGAAAGCAAGGGCGAGGTGGGGGCACCCGCTCCGACGCGCGCGCGCGCCCGTGAAGGTGGCGCCCGCGGCCGGCAGAAAAACGGGGGCGGCCGGCGGGGCGCGCGGCCCGGTCTAATTCGGCACCGCCGGCGCGGCCCCGGCCGGCTGCGCGAGGGCGCGGCTGCGGCGGCCGGTGGCGCAGCGACGCCCGCGGGCGGCGCGTCAGAGGAAGTGGCTCTTGACGGCGGCGCCGTCTGCGGCGGCGTCAGGCGCGCCTTTCGGGGCCCGGCCCGCGCGGCCGGGCGTCTGCGAGCGCTGACAAGGCGCTGCTGCTCCTGCGGGCGTGGCGAGGCGGATGGAGATGGGGGGGGCCCCGGCGGGGACGGACGAGTCAGTCAACCGGGCACGCTGCCATTCGGCTTGCCGGGCCCGCACACAGAGCTCTCCCGAGAATCCAGCAGCACTGGAGGGGCATGTAGTAGGGGCCAACCTCACATACCCACTACGCACCCCTCGACGGCAACACCAATCCCCACCAAGCCCACAACCCCAAACACAAGGCGCGGCCTCCGCCGGCCAGGGACAGGGCCGCAAGCGCAGCCGCCGGCAGCGGTGGGCTGAACTGTGTGCGGCTGCTGCTACCGGCCCCTTCCGGGGCCCTGGTGCTGGCGACTCACGTGTGCCCCCGTCCTCCCTTCGCACCCTTGCCGCCCGGGCGCATGAGTTTGAGCACCAGCTGGAGCGTCCAGTGGTAGTTGAGGCCCGTCAGGAAGGCCTGGGGGGGAAGGGGGGGGGTCAAAGTGCGGTCAAACAAAGATCAGAACCGGGGTCGGTCGGATCAGAGCTCATGAGGGCAGGACTTGATGCGGAGATCACGGCGTGGGAAATAGGGGGAGGGGGCGGCAGCGGGTCGGTCGAGAACGCCAGCAAGGCCGCGGCGGCGGACGACGAGGGTCAGGAGGCCCAGCATTTTTGGGACAGCCTGCAAAGCATGCACTTGGCCGGCAAAGCATGCACTGAGGAAACAGAGATCTGTCGCCGCCACCGCCGCGCGACAGGACGTTGCGCGGCCCTTTGAACAGCTCTGTCCACCGCCCCCCCCCCCGTCGTCGCAGAGCGCGACGCCTCCTCCTCTGCACTACCCATCCACCCCGCACCCAGCCTGCCGCCGCGCTCGCTCGCCAGGCGGCGCGCATTGTCGCACGCGCGCAATTTCCTCCCCCCCGCGCGCCGTGGATGCCGCAGCTCGCCTGCAGCAGCGGCGTGATGAGGATGGGGTTCCAGGGCGACCCGCATATGACCGTCTCGCTGCGCCACTCCTTGTAGAACGCCCAGATCAGGTAGGGGTAAAACACGTTGCGCAGGCCGACCTTGCGAGTGGGAGGGGCACAAGGATTCAGGGGGAAAAAATGCAGACCAGGTGCGGTGAGGAGCGGTGGCGGGCAGGGCGCGTGGGCGCGGGGCCGACCCGGCCGGCTTGGGGGCGAAAAAGCGGGCGCGGGGCGGCAAGGCTGGTGTCGACATGCCGGCCGACGCTCCCCAGACCCCTGCCAACCCCGGGAGCGGCACCGCCGGGCCGTCTCTGGCGCAGCCACAGGGCCGTGGCCGCAGAGTCAAGCGGCGCCGTGCCGCCCGCGAGGACACGCGCCGCTGCAACGCAGGGCGGTGTGTGTGTTGTGGTGTTTTGTGCTCACCCATGTGACGTAGAATGCGAGCTCTATGGGCTTGCCCCCGATGCAGCGCCGCGCGATGAGCAGCCACGTGTTGACCTCCACCAGCATGCAGTACGCCATGCACCTGGCATGGGCGGGGTGGGGGCGGTACGCGTACATAAACGAGGAGCGTCATTGCGCCATGGCAAGGGCCAGGGGGGCTGAGGCCGACGGCCGACAGCGCAGTGCGAACCAAGCCCCTCGCTCCGCGGGCTCTAACGCAACCTGGAGCGCCGTCGCCAGCCTCGCAGCAAGGCGAGCCACCTCCACACGAAACAGCCCCACCCCCTCCCCCACACACACGCGCAATCTCTCTCTCTCTCATATGCGCACACACGCACACGCACACGCGCACGAACACACACACACACACACACACACACATGAATACGATTGCATGTGTGCGCGCGCGCACCAGTGGTACTGCGGGTAGTTGTAAGGTATGAGCATGTACAGGGCGGTGCACAGGTGGTGGCTCAGGATCACCACGGGGCTCTTCACGCTCTGGGGGTAGATGCCTGGGGGCGGGGGAGGTAGACACCAGGGCAAGAGGGCGGGCGGTCAGGTGGGTGGCAAGGGGCCCGAGAGGAGAGGTGGTGGTGCTGGAGGTGGAGGGGCGAAGGGGGCGCATAAATGCCCCTGGAATCGCCTGGCACCTCAACGGGAGCCGCCCCTGCTGCTCGCACTGCGGCGAGGGTTTGGGCGCCGTGGGCGTGCGCCGCCACGAGAAACGGCGACCTAGTGGCTCCCGGCGGCAGGCAGACGCGTGAAGGGTGAGCGCGGGTGTTGCGATCGGGCGCGGCACCGTCGCTTGGACCGGCTGCAATGGGTGCGATCAGGGCCGCTCACCAACGAAAACGGTGTAATGGGTGCGATCAGGGCCGCTCACCAACGAAAACGGTGTCAAACAGGAAGTAGAGCATGGTGGTGGTCCAGAAAACAGTGAAACTGGGGCAATGGGGATGAGGGCGGGTGCGCGCATGTTCTGAGGGCTCTGGGGATGCCGCTTAGGGCGCGGCAGGGGAGCACGGGCAGCTGCGGAGCCGGGCGCGCAGCGGGGTGAGGGACCGGCTCACCCCTCGCCGGTGATCAGGTACGAGATGTTGAGGGCATTGAGCAGTGCGATCACGACCAGGTTGAACCAGTCGTGGAGCTTAACTGGGGCGCACGGCACGGGAGGGGGGGGGGCGGAAAGGGTGAAGGGGGAGTGAGCTCAGGGGCTGCGACGGGGGCGCAGCCAGCGTTGCAAGGGGTGCGCACAGCAAGCGCGCGTGGCGCAGGGCGCGAGTCCATCGAAGGGGGCCCTGCGCCGCAACGAGCGGGCGCATGACCCGTGGCGGCCGGCGCCCCAACTGTTGTTCCGCGCCCGCCGAGTGCAGCATGGGGCTGCGCAAAATGATGCGCCGCGGCCCCATGCGCGGAACATGGGCGGCAACGGGCGCAATGTGTCCTATCGCGCCTCACCTGGGTCCCACAACTTCGGATACACCAGCTTGAACATGGCTGCTGCTGATGGGGAACCGCGGCGGGCAACTGACGCGAAGCGGGAGTCCACGCGGGCTTCCGCCCGCTCCAAGCTCCCAAAATAGATGTCCAAAAAACGAGGGTCGCAGGCCTGACGGGGCACTGCTGCTTGGGGCTGGTCGCACACTGATGCCCCCTGATGCCCGCCCCGGTGTTCGCCTGGAGCTCAACACCGACCGCAGCAAAACATGTGAAATCCTCTGAATTCTCCGTTTACTGAGGAACAGACAAAAGATGATAAGATTTGGCTGAGGATGCGATGAAGTGGCCACGACCGGCTTCTTGCGCGATTGCTGCAAGGAGAGCCGTATGAGAAGCAGCTCGAAACACTGTGTGCGGAACGCGAAACGCCCTATCAACAGTGGGGGGAACCTGAGCATCGGCGCCGAAGCGCGGCCGGCAACTTCCCTTCCGCCACTTGGCGATGCAGCGCCGCGGCTCCGACAGGGCCGCCGAGCGCGTCACACAACGTGTCCTGTGCATAAACCCACCTGCAATATCGGTCTACCCTCGCCGCCAAGTGTAGGCAGGGTGCTGAAACCATTTTGCAGAATGTCAGCTCAGAACCCAAGGACAGCTGACGCCGGCCATGCGCCGGCGCAGGAAGCCATCCGCCCGCGCCCATTACTCACCTGCCATGCGCCACAGGGAGCTCTCCGCCCACACTTGCGAAGTGCGCAACCCTCCACCCCAGCGTCGCCGCGGCTGACACCTGCCGTGGGGCCGCTGGCGGGGGCCCCGGGTTTTCCCTTGCTGTAAGTGCACCATTCCTCATGCGGTTGGTGGCAGCTTCCCCCGCCCAGGCGCCGGCAGTCATCCCATCGCTGGATCAAGCCAGCCTAAAGGGCCCATGAATCCCGGCCCTGCGCGGTGCTACTGGTCGACGCTGCGGCGCAGCCACAGGCGGCGGCAATCCGCAGTGCCGCATTGGTCTGCCCCTCACTCGTGGCCCCCAGATTGTGCTCGAGGCAGCCCCTCCAATGCAGCCAAACCGCTGCGAAACTTTACACAGAACGACCAGCAACTTCTCCGTCCGTCCATCGAAGGACGTACGCGGACGAAAGGGAAAGGGCGTCGCGCATCGCACTCGACGCCCTGGCTCGCGGCCGCTCGGCGCGTGCCCGTTCAGGCGGATCAGAAGCTCCTGCTGCAATAACGCTCATTTGGATGCAATTTCCAGCCAAACGAAAAATTGCATGAGGGCGTCTTGAGTTCGTTGGCACAAAAGGCGACGACCTGTTAGTAAATTGCGCGGCGCCATGACTCGGGGAGACGCTGCTCAGCCACGCCCCCAAGGGTGAGCTTGGCGGGGTGTATTAGGGCGCACAGGTGTAGCGCGCATTGGCCCTGTCACCGTGAGGCTGTCTGTGTGCAAGAGTGAAACTTGAAGACCGCAACAGGCAGGTGCTTTTGCAGCTGGGAGGCATGGCGTGCTTTGCGTGTGCGAGCAGGGCTGCCCATGAGCCGTGCTTCAGTACATGTGCAGCGCCGCGCGCCCGGCACTGGCGCGCCGCGCTGGCCGCCTCGCGGGGTGCTGCATTTTTTGACGCCAACTGCTGCGCGCCAGCCGGGCTGTTGTCAATGGATGGCGCTGCCGCACAGGCTCGCGGCGCGCCCAGGCATTGCAAATGGCGGTGCGATTGAATGCGCCGGCCCGCTGCAACCTGGCAGGGGCGATACACTACATGCAAACTACGGCGGCGCTTGGATGTAGAGCAGCAAAGTAAGAGCAAGTGTGCGAGCCTGGGTGCGGATAAGCAAGGGTAGACAAGAGGAAATCAAGCATAAGTAGTACGCTATGCATGTTTGTGCAAGTACAATTGCCGTTTGATGCACCTTGAGTCGCGATTTGCGGAAAGGCGGGGGCGTAAGTGGCTTGTGAGCCTGCAGGTTCCTGACGCTATTCGCGCCGCGAACTCCCGCTGCAGACGCAAGTTTGCGCCACGCCGCGCTGCGCCGCGGCTCGACACGCATTTTAGTCGGTCTTGACCAGTTCTTGATGGCACGACGCCGCGCTTGTCGCGCGCGGCGCACACGGATCACTCCGGCGCGGGACGCCCGGCCCCAGGCGTCGGGTCACGCCCGCACGGTCAGCGACTGCGGCAGGGAGCTGCCCGCGCTGTTGGCGGCCGTGATGTCAAAAAGGTATGACGGCGGCGTCTCCCCCTCCTTCAGCGGCCGCGTCACGAACCGCATAATGCCTGCGGCGGCGCGGCGGCGGGGGGAGGGCGGGGCGGCGTCAGCGCTAGGGGCGGCGGCGGCGAAGCAAAAGTGCATCCGTGCAGGAGGCAGGCGCAGCGCGGGGATGTCCCATTCCTCGGGCCCCTGCAAGGGACGCCTCCAGCTGCCTGGTCTTGCGTGCATTACCCCACAAGAGGGCCAGTGTGTTGTAGATTACTGGCAGCGGTAGCATTTTCAGGCCGGGCCCAGGGAGCGAGCACCCCTCCCCTAGCATCACCGCGTGCGCGCCGCACCGCGTCACGCGGCCACATTGCAGGCTAGAGTCAGCGCGTCTGCCGCTTGTGACGCGCACTACCCCCACCCCCCTACGCCACCCTGCACTGCCCACAAACCCCTGCGCACTTCTTGACTGCCAGCCCAGGGCCTCACCGGCTGCGTTGCTGTTCTGGAGCGGTATGCTCTGCTTAGTGATCTTCCGGGTGGCAAGGTTCAGCACATTCACTTTGTACTGCTCGGCAGCGATCGGGGGACGCCGGCCGGCGGGGAGGGCACGGGAGGAGCAAAAGTTTAGGGTTGAGGGTTCAGGGTTCAACAACGAGGCGGCGGCAGCAGCAGCAGCAGCAGCAGCAGCAGCAGCAGCAGCAGCAGCAGCAGCAGCAGCAGCACAGGGTCGGGGAGGGGCTGGTGTGGGGCCCAGCAAGGAGCAGGGTGCTTGGAAGCGACCGGGCGCGCAGCAGCCCCGCCGTGGCTGCGCGGGTGCCGCCGACACGTCGCTGCGTGGCAACCAAGGCGTAAGAGGCAAAGGCTGTGCAGGCGCGGCGGCGCTCACGCCCGCTCCCCGCGATCAGCCGCTCACCTCCCTTACGCACGCGTTGCCCGGCGGCAGCCCCCACGCCACCCGTATCTCTGTCTTGTCGCCGACCTGGTCTTTGCTGAGTAGGTACATGCCGCGCACCGGCTGCGGCGGCGAAGCCTCGGAGCACTTCGGGGCCGGGGTCGGGCAGGACGGCTCTATCTCCACCGTCCTCAGCGTATCCTCGTTGAGGCCGCAGAGGACGACGTGGGCGCCACCCAGGGGCTCGTCGAGCGCTGAGGTGGCGGCCGTGGGGCGGGAGGGGGAGGGGGCCAAGTTGTGGGCGGGCCGCGCGGGGAGGGGCTCGGGGAGGGGGTGCCCGGGGTGCCCGGCGGCATGCGAGTGCATGCGAGTGCATGCGGGCAGAGGGCGTCGATTAACTGGGTGCAGCGCAAATGCGTCTTACTTTTTATGACGTTCAGATTGTCCATTAATAGGTCCTGCAGAGGGTGGCAGTGGGAAGATTTTATGGGTGTGACGGTGTGGGTGGTGGGGGGTGCATGGGGGATTGCGGCTGCAGGGCAATGCTAGGGTGAACGAGCGCACGAGGGGTGCAGCAAAGCAGAGCCGTGCGTTGCGGGGCATCGAAGCGCAAGTGCCCGCCAGAGCCGCCTGCGAGCCACAAGCAGGCGCAATATGCTGTTTGCTGCAGCGCAAGGCTTGAGCTGGCTCAAACAAAACACAAGCTGCTGATGCACGGCAGCTGCTCGCGTGGCAGCCGCTAGGTCGTGGGCACCCCTGCGCCACCCGCATATCAATGCGCCGCGAGCACGCTGGTGGCCAGGATGCAGCAACAGCAGCACCGCACCAGTCGGGCCCCGCCGCGTGTCAAGAGTGTCACCGCACCTGAAGGCTGATCTTCGTGTCTGATGCCAGCTCAGCGGGCCACATGCCTCGTGGGGGCTTCCCCAGGTAGCAGCCTAGGTGCACAGGGGGTGCAAGAGCGCCAGGTGCGTGGGGTGCGATTGGTGCGCAGGGTGCGCAGCGTGCACAGGGGTGCGCAACAGGTGCGATGGGTGCGCAACGCGCACAGGGTGTGCGGGGTGCGGATGGTGCAGAGGGTGAACAGTGTGCAGAACACGTGACTGTGAGGAAGGAAACGCGGATGAAAGGGGGTGCGGCGTGGGCGTGCGCATGTGCTTGTGCGTTTCCGCAAGGCATGTGAGCATGAGGGCGGAGGGGGGAGGCGCATGTATCGAATTGCACATGTGTTGGGTCGGTTGCTTTTCGCGGAGCTAAAGGTGCAATCAATCGTGGTGGTGCTTGGCAGGCCCCCGTGGTGGTGCGATGTCTCAAATGATCGAGGGCAGCAGTTGGCTCAATGCAGGCGCACCCCTGATGAGCTCAAGTGCGCACCTCGCCGCTTGGGGTGTGGGCACAGCTTGTAGGGCGTGGGCAGCTTGGGTTCAAACTTGAGACCATACCTGGTCAGTGGGATGCCATCAATGCAAAGGGAAATGAGAAATGCTGACTAACTACTACCACCCGGGGCAGAGGAGCGACCGCCGCCGGGTCATTGGAGCTGGAGCTTGCAGGCACCGGCTGCTGGAGGGTGCGGGGCCTGACCCACGGGCACGAGCGAGCGCTGGGACAGACCCCGGAGCGGTGACGCTGCCTGCCAGGGGAAGACAGGCTGCGGGCGTCGGCCGTCCGGCGCTCACGTCTTGTCGGGCTCCAGGATATTCGTCTGGACGGCGTCGAATGATATCTTCGCTATCCCCTTCACCGCGAACTGCGTGCCCCAGGAGTTTTTGAACGTCCTGTGGCGGGGCGGGCGTGTTCGGTTGGGGAGGTGATTCCTTGGCAGCAGCCGGGCAGGCGGCTGATCGGGGCCACGACAGTTTCGTCCTCACAGCCATCATTCAGGCATGATCGTGGCTTGCAGCGGCGCCATGCACGCCTTGTTTGGGCTAGGTCTCAACAGTACCCTTGCTATCCTGCTG